AGGTAGTTGAAGGCTGCAATCAAATCCCCCCTCACTCTTCTCTTCTGCAGACTAAATAAGCCCATTTCCCTCAGCCTCTCCTTGTAAGTTATGTGCCCCAGCCCCCTAATCATTTTTGTTGCCCTCCGCTGGACTCTCTCCAATTTGTCCACATTCCTTCTGTAGTGAGGGGACGAAAACTGTACACAATACTCCAGGTGTTGCCTCACCAGTGCCGAATAGAGGGGAATAATCACTTCCCTCGATCTGCTGGCAATGCTCCTACTAATACAGCCCCATATGCCGTTGGCCTTCTTGGCAACAAGGGCACACTGCTGACTCATATCCAGCTTCTCATCCACTGTAACCCCTAGGTCCTTTTCTGCAGAACTGCTGCCTAGCCACTCGGTCCCTAGTCTGTAGCAGTGCATGGGATTCTTCCGTCCTAAGTGCAGGACTCTGCACTTGTCGTTGTTGAACCTCATCAGATTTCTTTTGGCCCAATCCTCTAATTTGTCTAGGTCCCTCTGTATCCTATCCCTACCCTCCAGCGTATCTACCACTCCGCCCAGTTTAGTGTCATCTGCAAATTTTCTGAGGGTGCAATCCACGCCATCCTCCAGATCATTAATGAAGATATTGAACAAAACCGGCTCCAGGACCGACCCTTGGGGCACTCCGCTTGATACCGGCTGCCGACTAGACATGGAGCTATTGATCACTACCCGTTGAGCCCGACGATTTAGCCAGCTTTCTATCCCCCTTATAGTCCATCCAGCCGATACTTCTTCAACTTGCTGGCAGGAATACTGTGGGAGACCATATCACGTCCACTGCTATCCCCTCATCCACAGAGCCAGTTATCTCATCATAGAAGACAATTAGGTTAGTCAGGTATGACTTACCCTTGGTGAATCCATGCTGACTGTTCCTGATCACTTTCCTCTAAGTGCTTCAAAATTGATTCCTTGAGGACCTGCTCCATGATTTTTCCAGGGACTGAGGTGAGGCTGACTGGCCTGTAGTTCCCCAGATCCTCCTCCTTCCCTTTTTTAAAGATGGGCACTACATTAGCCTTTTTCCAGTCATCCGGGACCTCCCCCGATCACCAGGAGTTTTCAAAGATAATGGCCATTGGCTCTGCAATCACATCTGCCAACTCCTTTAGCACCCTCAGATGCAGTGAATCCGGCCCCATGGACTTGTGCTCGTCCAGCTTTCCTAAATAGTCCTGAACCACTTCTTTCTCCACAGAGGGCTGGTCACCTCCTCCCCATACTGTGCTGCCCAGTGCAGTACTCTGGTAGCTGACCTTGTTTGTGAAGACAGAGGCAAAAAAAGCATTGAGTACATTAGCTTTTTCCTCTGTCCCTAGGCTGCCTTCCCCATTCAGTAAGGGGCCCACACTTTTCTTGACCACCACCTTGTTGCTAACATACCTGAAGAAACCCTTCTTGTTACTCTTAACATCCCTTGCTAGCTGCAACTCCAGTTGTGATTTGGCCTTCCTGATTTCACTTCTGAATGCCTGAGCAATATTTTTATACTCCTCCCTGGTCATTTGTCCAATCTTCCACTTCTTGTAAGCTTTTTTGTGTTTAAGATCAGCAAGGATTTCACTGTTAAGCCAAGCTGGTCGCTTGCCATATTTACTATTCTTTCTACACATCAGGATGGTTTGTTCCTGCAACCTCCATAAGGATTCTTTAAAATACAGCCAGCTCTCCTGGACTCCTTTCCCCCTCATGTTATTCTCCCAGGGGATCCTGCCCATCAGTTCCCTGAGGGAGTCACAGTCTGCTTTTCTGAAGTCCAGGGTCCGTATTCTGCTGCTCTCCTTTCAGGATCCTGAACACGACCATCTCATGGTCACTGCCTCCCAGGTTCCCATCCACTTTTGCTTCCTCCACTAATTCTTCCCGGTTTGTGAGCAGCAGGTCTAGAAGAGCTCTGCCCCTAGCTGGTTCCTCCAGCAATTGCACCAGGAAATTGTCCCCTACACTTTCCAAAAACTTCCTGGATTGTCTGTTCGCTGTATTGCTCTCCCAGCAGATATTGGGGTGATTGACATCCCCCATGAGAACCAGTGCCTGTGATCTAGTAACTTCTGTTAGTTGCCTGAAGAAAGCCTCGTCCACCTCAACCCCTGGTCTGGTGGTCTATAACAGACTCCCACCATGACATCACCCTTGTTACTCACACTTCTAAACTTTAATCCAGAGAGACTCAGGTTTTTCTGCCATTTCATACCGGAGCTCTGAGCAGTCATAGTGCTCTCTAACATACAGTGCAACTCCCGCACCTTTTCTGCCCTACCTGTCCTTCCTGAACAGTTTATATCCATCCATGACAGTACTCCAGTCATGTGAGTTATCCCACCAAGTCTCTGTTATTCCAATCACATCATAATTCCTTGACTGTGCCAGGACTTCCAGTTCTCCCTGCTTGTTTCCCAGGCATCTTGCATTTGTGTATAGGCACTTAAGATAACTCGCTGACCGTTCTGCTTTCTCAGTATGAGACAGGAGTCCTCCCCTCTTGCGCTCTCCTGCTCGTGCTTCCTCCTGGTATCCCACTTCGCCCAGACTTTGGTCTCCTTCCCCCGGTGAACCTAATTTAAAGTCCTCCTCACTAGGTTAACCAGCCTGCCTGCGAAGATGCTCTTCCCTCTCTTCGTTAGGTGGAGCCCGTCTCTGCCTAGCAATCCTCCTTCTTGGAACACCATCCCATGGTCAAAGAATCCAAAGCCTTCTCTCCGACACCACCCGCGTAGCCATTCGTTGACTTCCACTATTTGACGGTCTCTATCTGGGCCTTTTCCGTCCACAGGGAGGATGGATGAGAACACCACTTGCGCCTCAAACTGCTTTATCCTTCTTACCAGAGCCACGTAGTCTGCAGTGATCTGCTCAAGGTCATTCTTGGCAGTATCATTGGTGCCCACGTGGAGAAGCAGGAAGGGGTAGCGATCCGAGGGCTTGATGAGTCTCGGCAGTCTCTCTGTCACATCGTGAATCCTAGCTCCTGGCAAGCAGAACACTTCTCGTTTTTCCCGGTCGGGACGGCAGGTAGATGACTCCCTGAGGAGGGAGTCCCTGACCTCCACCACCCACCTCCTTCTCTTGGGAGCGGTGGTCGTGGAACCCCCATCTCTAGGTCAGTGCATCTCATGCTTTCCAATCAGTGGAGTCTCCTTCTGCTCCCTTCCCTCAGATGTATCATGTAGTCCACTCTGCGCATTAGAATCTGTGGAGAAAACATAAAAACAGTTGCTCAGCTATATCTCCATTGCTGGTACATGGATGCTCCTCTTTCTTCTTCTGGTGGTCACATGCTACCAATTTTCTTCACCGTCCTTGTGTCGCCGCTGCGCAGCCTGCACTGAATCTTCAGAATGTTGTGCCCGTAGAAGCATATTCTGATGTCTGTCCAGGAAATCTTCATTTTCTCTTATGCAATGCAGGGTTGATGCTTGTTTCTCCAGACCTTGAACCTTCTCTTCCAATATGGAGACCAGCTTGCACTTTGTACAGACAAAGTCTAAGAGCTTTCTCAGCTGTTGCAGTAACTACTCAGAGAAGCCTGCAAGATGAAAGCCTCTGTGGGCTCTCCCCAGGCGAACTCCCAGTCAAACTCCCTCTGTTCGCCGCTCAGCTGGTTCGCAACTGGTTGCCTTTTTATAACAATCAGGCCCACTCAAGGCCCACCTGGAACAGAGCACTCCCAATTCACACTTTTCAAACAATCAAGTATACGGTCAAACTGACAAACTGTAGTAGATTAGTTTTGCTGTTCTCATGTCCTCCTTTCCTTAGGATCTTGAATTCTATTGGATCACGATCACTTCTTCCCAAATTGCCGACCACCTTTGCGTTCGCAGCGAATTCATCCCTGTTGGTCAAAACCAGATCCAAAATGGATGACCCCCTTGTTGTTTCCTCATTTGTTGTTTCCTGATTCAGAAAGTTGTACCCTACACATGCTAAGAACATTGCAGGACATATTATGTTTTGTTGTATTAGTCTTCCAACAGATATCAGGGAAGTGATATTAGATATCAGACAAGCATTGGTGTTCCACCTGCAGAAAACTAAACCAGTCAGAAAATCACCTAGGCTGTTTGTTGCTGTAGCAGAACGAGCACAGGGACAAACAATATCTGCTCAGAAACTCTCTAAGTGAATATCTGTCTGTATCCTCCTTTACTATCAGTTGGTGCATCTCCCTTCTCCAGACAGGGAGAGGGCCTGTTTTACTAGAGCGCAGGCAACTTCAGTAGCATCTCTTTGAAAAGTGCATATGATGAACATTTGTAAGACAGCAACCTGGGATTCATCCACACTTTCACGAAGCATTATGCTTTGGACCAAGCCTCTTCTGCCAATACAGCCTTTGTAATCAAAGCATTACAGACATCTGTACCAACTGCATCCTTGCACACACCTCCAATTTGAGTACTATTTGCCAGTCACCCCTGCGTGGAATACGCTTTAAGTACCAGAACTCGAAGAAATGGACATTACTTTCCTGTTGTTGGAGGTTCTTCAAAATGTGTGGTCCCTGTCTGTATTCCACTACCCACCCTCCTTCTCCTCTGCTTTGCATCATGATTAGATTTGCAGTAGAGAAGGAACTGGAGAGGTTGTTGGTCCTTACTTCTCCTTGTACCCTTGGTGCTGAGCACAGAGGTGTGAACTAGTGACCACTACTCTCAATATGTTCTAGCCTCAGGTGCATGAAGCAAATGCAGACCCACATATATAATACAGATAGGGATCTAGTTATAGGTAGGTAACATCTATTTCTTCCTATTCTGTCATGCAGGCTGGATTCAGTCCACAGGAAAGATGTTTGATGGTCCTGCTTGTAAGCCTTCTTTATCATATAGAGAAACATTCTCTATTAGTATATCAAACAAATATTGCATCTTTTAAGATGGCAGGGTTTTGTTGGGGGGGGGGGAGGGGAATAGAAATAGTTTTAGAATAAATGTGAATTTTAAGAAATCTGTCTTCTTTCAGTGTCTCCTTTTCTGCTTGGTCGTGCTCTTTGGGCCGCCAGTCGCTTCACAGTTGCTATGTCTCCAGAATTAATCCAGCAATTTCTGCAGGCCACAGTCAGTGGTCTACATGAGACCCAACCTCCTTCAGTCCGGATCTCTGCAGTCAGAGCTATCTGGGGGTAAGTAGATCATGCATTATGATGGGTCTTGGTGGATTGTGAGCTAATGAAAGAGGAAAGGAATCATTTGAGGATGGAAGAGCTTGACACAGTTGGTGTTAAAACAGAAAAGTTGATGTATGTTCCCGAGAAGCACACTTTTCTGCATGTAGCTGATGACAGATCTTGTACATGAACTACTTATAGATCAGTCATCAGATAATTGAAGTAAATCTCACTATTTTTAGTAAACATTTGAGACTGAATTTTAACTGAACATAAGTTATGATTTGATGCAGTCTGTAGAATTCCATTCCATTGAAAAGCACATTGTAGTTTTTTTTGATCTGCCAGGCTGCAGATTTGGGACTCTGTGTCTAGAACCCAGGATAAACCTTGGGTTAATATAACATGTTTCCTCAAGGTGGAATTTTACTGTTCCTCTTTGAGTGATTGCTCATGTCTATTCCATGTTAGGTGTGCGTGCTCGCCACATGCACTGGTTCTGGAAGTTTCTCCCTCAGTGGTATCCGTAGGGGTCTGGCTCTGGCGCCCTCTGGAGTGGCGTGCATATGCGCCGGTATAAGGGGTGCTGCCGGTTTCTTCCATCCCTCAGTTCCTTCTTATCTCCAGTGACGGTGCTGGAAGGTCTCCTTGCTTTGCCAAGCGCTTACTTACCCAGTGGTTTTTTCTCTTTACTGTTGTAAATAATTTAGATAAGTAGTTTCTTTGTACTTAACGACTAGCAAATTAGAGTTGTAGATAAATTAGATAGTCCACTTCGGGACTTGGGACGGGGCATGCTCCGGTCTCTGGGCTTCAAGCCTTGTGATCACTGTAGAAAGCCCATGCTGATCAGCGACCCTCATTAAAGTTGCTTGAAATGTTTGGGAGAAGCCCACATTAGCAGTAAGTGTCGCATTTATAAGAGCTTCAAGCCCAGGACAAAAAAGGAGAGGGACATAAGGCTGAGAGCACCCCTCATGGAATTGGCCCTCGCGCCAGTCTCTGAGCCATCAAAATCAGACTCTGCACCCAGTACGGCTGCATCAGTGCAAAGTGTACCTCTGGCACTGGTCCCCGTCCCCGGAACCAGCTCAGAAGCAGAGGAAACATGCTGGGTGAGGGTGTTCCCCGATATCCTGTGTGGGAAAGGGAAAGTCCGGAGATGAGCATAGGCCCTTGCGGGGGGCAGCAACTCTCCGGAGGCCAGCCAGGCACCTGTATTGCCAGTTAGGCCATCCAGCCCTCCTAGAGACCCACCAGCCACCCCAGGTACTGGCTGAGGTCCCCAGCACCTGGAAGTCCCATCCACGCTGGAGGCCTTCCTGGCTGCAAAAGACATCATATCTTTGCCGGTGCTGCTGACGCCCCACCAAGACGTAATCGTCTCCAGGGAGAAGCCAGCACTGGGACCTGTGCCACGGTCTCCATCTGTGCAGCATCGCTCCCCGGCACCGTGGCAGTCGATGTCGAAGTGACGATCCCCGGGGACATGCTTCTGACCTGCCCATACCGACCGAAGTTCCCAGCACTATTTGCAGGACTCTCGGCACCAGTCCCCCATGGGATGGCACTGCTCGCCCGATGGCCGACACAGGGCCGCAGCACACCACCTGTCCCCAGAATGGCATTGGTCACCGGAAGGGAGATATCTCTCCCCAGGGCAAGGGACCCCATTGGGGCCACTGTGAGGCCCATCCCAGGCACTGAGACACAGATCGCCGGACGCACAACATTAGGTCGAGGCAGCGCTCCCTGCCATCCTGTTCTTGGTCACTGGACTCACTACACCGATCTCAGAGCTCTAGGCATGGATCACTGGGTTACCGTCACCGATCTGCCGAGCTCCGTAACAGGTCCCTGAGCAGACAGTTACAGGACCTGGATCCCCAGCACTGGTCCCCCGCCGTAGATGTCAGGATAACCGGCCACGAAGAGGACTTAGAGCCCACATTGGCACCACAGTGGTCTCCAATGCAAAACTTTTCCTCCTGGCTCAGAGTAGGAGGAGGTAGTGGGCCTCTCGGGCCAGGTGTGCCAAATCTGGGGGGCCCCCCAGGGCCACTGGCTGGTGTATGGCCCTAGGGCCAATGGCCTGCCTCATGGCAGTTTTGGAATCCATGGGGGGGTTCTCCAAGCGCCAGAGATCCTCGTACAGCGCTCTGTGTCAGGAGTGTCAGAGAGGTCATGGACAGTGTCCCACACACCCCTGGTTCTGATGAAGGGTCCAAGCAAGATACCCAGGAACACTCCCCCCGTCCCTCCCCACCAGTCTCAGTGGAGGCCACCCAAGCTGGGGACGTGGGACCAATCCCCTCCTCCCGCTACCCCAAGGGTAACAAGCAGGTGTTTTGAGGGTGCGTCCGAGGGCGACGTCCCAGTCTGCAGACAGGATCCTACACCTCTTTTGTTTTCCAACTGCCTTTTTCCCTTCCTCCCTGCCTGGGCTGCTATAACAACAGACTGTTGGGTCCTCAGCACTGTGGCGGTGGGGTATACCTTACCGTTTATTTCTACACTCCCTCCCACCCCCCTACCCTGTCCCTCTTCGGGACCCTTCTCATGAGCAGCTTCTCGCCCAAGAGGTGCAAGCCCTCTTGCTAGTCGGAGCCATAGAGGATGTCCCCGTGCATCGAAAGGGGAAAGGTTTCTATTCCCGGTATTTTCTCATACCAAAGGCCAAGGGCAGTCTATGACCCATTTTGGAAGTATCTCAAGAAGTTGAAGTTTCGCATGGTCTCCCTGGCATCCATCATCTCCATCCTGGAGACTAGTATGCCACCCTCAACTTGAAGGGTGTTCTTGCCGCCTGCAACAGGACATTCAGATCTACCCATACCTCAATGACTGGCTGATCAGGTTTAGGTCCTTCACAGCATTCGGTTGGTGCAAGCCACATACCAGGCACTGGGTCTGTTGATAAACACACAAAAATTGATGTTACTCCCAGTGCAAAGAATAGAGTTTATAGGGGCAGTCCTAGACTCTACACAGGCCAGAGCCTTTCTCCCAGAGCCCAGATTCGAGGTGATGTCAGTTCTCACCCTATCCCCATGGCTAGAGTATGCCTCAGGCTAATAGGATACATGGCAGCATGTATTTATGTAGTTCGCCATGCACATCTGCCATCCAGGCCCCTCCAGATGTGACTAGCGTTGGTCTACATCCCAGCCAAGTACCACCCAGACAGAGTCCTCACGATTCTGCCGCAAGTGCTTACAGCTCTAAAATGGTGGTCAAACCTGGTAAACATTTCCAAAGGAACACCCTTTGCAACCCCGAAACCCACAAAGGAGCTAGTGTCAGATGCCTCTGACCTAGGCTTGGAGAGGCCACCTTGGATCGCCGAAGATCATGGGGTTATGGTCCCAGGACAAGCCCTCACTGCACATCAACGTCAGGGAGCTCAGAACCATCCGATTGACTTGCGAAGTGTTCCTTACGCAGCTATCACATCAAGTAGTTCAGGTGTTGACTGACAATACAGCCGCCATATTCTATGTCAACAGGCAAGGGGGAGTGCGGTCCTTGGTTCTCTGCCAAGAAGCCCTCTGGCTGTGGGATTTTTGCATCCGGCACACCATATTCACCGAGGCACTACATTTCCCTGGTGTCCGAAACACCCTGGCGAATCACCTCAGCAGGCTGTTCTGTTCTCAACCATAAGGAGGTTGTCAGAATGATCTTCCAGAGGTGGGGAACTCCCCAGGTGGACCTGTTTGCCACCAGGCGAAACAGGAAGTGTCTGCTCCCTCCAAGGGCTCGACAGCGGGTCACTCTGCGACATCTTTCTCCTGTCTTGGGCAGAGGGCCCGATGTAAGTCTTCCCGCCAATCCCTCTTATCCCCATTCTCTGACACCTTTCTCCTGTCTTGGGCAGAGGACCTGATGTATGCCTTCCCACCAATCCCTCTTATCGGCAGGACTCTCCTGAAAATAGAGGGACAAAGCCAGGGTCGTCATGATCACCCCGGCATAACCCCGCCAGCATTGGTTCGGCATGCTCATGGACTTGGCATCAGCGCCCCTATGAATGCTTCCAAACTGCCCAGATCTGCTCTCAGGATCACGGGAGATGACTGCACCCAATCCTCGCCTCCCTCCACCTCACAACATGGATGCTGTGTTGTTGAACCCAGAGGAGCAGGCCTGCTCTGCTCAGATCCAGCGAGTACTGCTGGAAAGTAGAAAACCCTCTACGAGAGCAACTTACCTGTCAAAGTGGAAATGCTTTTCTTGCTGGGCGTTGGAACAGGGGATCTCCCTGACCCAGTCATCTCTGCAGTCCATTCTAGAAAACCTGCTTCATTTAAAGCATCAAGACCCAGCCTTCTCCATCAAGATGCACCAGGCTGCCATTTCAGCCTTCCAGTGCAGATCAGTGTACTCACATGAGATGATGATCAGGTTCCTTAAGGGCCTGGAGAGACACTTTCCACCGGTCTGGGACATGGTCCCCCAATGGGACCTCAGTCTAGTCCTTTCTAGGCTCACTGGCCCTCCTTCGAGCCATTAGCCTCCTGCTCTCTTTCACATCTATTGTGGAAAGTCGCCTTCCTTGTGGCTATCACTTCAGCGAGGCGAGTCTCCAAGATTAAAGCCCTTACGTCGGATCCCCCGTACACTGTGTTCTGCAAGGCCATGGTTCAGTTGCATCCCCACCTGGCTTTCCTACCAAAGGTGGTGTTGCCTTTCCATATTAACCAGGACATATTTCTCCCAGTTTTCTGACCGAAGCCTCACGCGTCTAACAAAGAGAGGCGTATGCACACCCTTGATGTCAGATGGGCTCTGGCTTTCTACTTAGAGCGTACCATGCCCTTCCGTAAATCGACTAAACTTTTTGTCAAGGTGGCTGACAAAATGAAAGGCCTCCTTGTATCATCTCAAAGACTTTCATCTTGGATTACCACCTGCATTCGCACTTGTTACGAGCTGGCACAGGTCATACCTCCCCAGATGGTGACGGCTCATTCGACCAGAGCTTAGGCGTCTTTGGCAGCCTTCCTGGCACAAGTCCCTATCCAGGATATCTGCAGGGCCGCAACGTGGTCGTCGGTGCACATCTTCATGACCCATTATGCCATCACCCAGCGGGCTAGAGATGATGCTGGCTTTGGCAGAGCTGTGTTGCAATCGACATGCCCATGAACTCCTACCTGCCTCCAGGGATACTGCTTGTGAGTCACCTAACATGGAATGGACATAAGCAAGCACTCGAAGAAAAAACAGTTACTAACCTTTCATAACTGTTTTTCTTCGAGATGTGTTGCTTATGTCCATTCCATGACCTGCCCTCCTTCCCCACTGTTGGAGTTCCGGCAAGAAGGAACTGAGGGATGGAGGGAGGGGGCCAGTCGCGTTCCTTATATGGGCGCCAGAGCTGGTCCCCTACGGATACCACTGAGGGAAAAGCTTCCAGCACTGGTGCATGTGGTGAGCACACACACGTTACATGGAATGGATATGAGCAACACATCTCTAACAGTTACGAAAGGTTAGTAACCACTTTTTTCACTTTACTCACATAACTGTACAATGTGAGGAATAACACCAGGGATGGCGTGTGCAGAATGGAAGTTAATTTGGATCTCAAATGTAATGCCCTTTATAGTGATGTGCAAGTGGAAGATTTGATTAGTAGATATAATACCAGTCATTGAAAGCTTAAACAAAAATGCAGACAGTAACATTATAGATGTAGGACTCAAATCATAGTTGCACTATTTGCACCTATGCTTTGTTAGTTGCATTAGCCCCAGTTCATTTCACAAACCACTGTGTACTGGGGCATAGAAAGATCCCGCAGAGCTGATTTTCGTGGTGCTTTTAAGAGAGTGAAAATCCCCATCTTCTTCACAGAAGAAGCGCAACTGTTCTGCTCTTGATAGAGTCTTCCGCACAGATATGCAAGGAGGGCATGTTTGCCAATTTCAAAATTTTAAAGATTTAAACTAATGTAGAGGATCCATCCATATTGGTTGTAAAACATGAATAGCAATTTGATTTTTTTTAAATTCAAAATTTGGCTTTCGATCAATAATTTGATGGCAGAAGATTAGAGATACAAGGTGGGTGAGGTAATATCTTTTATTGGACCAACTTCTGTTAGTGATAGACAAGGTTTGGAGCTTGCACAGAGCTCTTCTTCAGGTCTGGGAAATGTACTCAATGTCGCAACTAAGCACAAGGTGGAACAGATTGTTTAGTGTAAGCAACTAATACATTTCAAGGGACCGTTCAAGGTGAAGTGGCCCATTAAATTCAGGTGGCACCGTGACTGTTTCCTTGAAATATGTGTTGACTGCTTATGCTAAACAATCTGTTCCACCTTGTGACACTCTGAGTACGTTTCCTAGATCTGAAGAATTGCTCTGTGTAAGCTCGAAAGCTTCTCTCTCTCACCAACTTTTGAAGCCTTAACCATGGATCTAGGAGCCAGCTGTTACTGTTTGGGGATAGAGCAAGGAGAAAAGGTAACTGAGTTGTTGGGAACTCCTTTACACGTTATCCTAATTCAACTTCCATCTTCGATAGGCTGATGAAGTGAGGTGATATAACAGATAGAGCTTGCGTCCCTACTGATGTTCATTGAAGGAGGTTAAACACTTCAAAGCATGACTGAATATAGCCTTCTATCTTTTCAAGGGGGATGTCTTAGTACTGAACCAAAGTCCCTGGAATTCACAAGTTTGAAGCCAGGAATTCAGATATTTTCAGATGTTTCCCCATCACTTATCAGGCATTACTGATGGAAGCCCTGGCCATACTGTCAGTAACTACCTAAGAAGAGCAGATACCTATATGCTTCTTGTGTATGGTTCTGTGATCATAGGCTGCATAAAGACTGAGTAACCCAAGTCAGTAAATGGTACCAACGGACTAATATGTGAGCCTTACACAATGTAATATGAAATTTTCTGTTATCTGGATTTGAAAGCTAGCTCACCCAGAGAGGATGTACAGGTAGCTTGTTATGGAACAGAGGGCCAGGAAGTTCCTTCCATGCTGGGAGAAGTAGGTACCAGAACAGTGTTGGAGCCCAATGCTCTTTTCCCTAGAAGGGGATCCAGGGAGCAGAAGTGGCTTGGAGTTTTAGGATCTTCCTAGGAGAGGGAGACAAGTAGGCTCAGGAAATAGAACTTTCATAGAAGCTGGACTAGGGCCTGGAACTTGCCAGAAGGCATCCAAGTGTCACTGGGTTCATTGTATTCAAAACTAAATGCCAATTGATCATTGCAACTTACCAGTCACTCAGTAGGCCCCCCTTCTTTCTCTCTCTCTCATACTCACACATACTAAATTAAAGAAACTCTGGATATTGATTCAGTAACTTACACCTCTTTGCTATAAAGAGAGAAGTTATCTTTAAAACAATAAAAAATTAGAATAGCCTTCTATGGTGATGAGCTCCTGAAAGGGAGGGGTGGGTTATGGAGTCCAGTGGCCTGAGGCCATTGCAGTTTTCTGCAGCCTGAAGAGGTAGGGAAAGGGAAAAGAGACTGAAGGTATAAATTTGAAAAGTGGGAGACTGAGACTTTGAGTAGGAAAAAAGGAAATATAGGGTTCAGGTGGTTAAAACAAAAAAATATACAGTTGGGCTGAAAAGAGAAAGAGAAGAGGGAACAACCACTAAAATGATACTCTGATCTATGCATCCAACATCCTCTAGTGCTGTTGTAAATATTATATTTGTGTGTTTTGTACCATGAATTCCTTATCTAGTTACTGTGACCAGCTGAAGATCTCTGAAAGTACCCATGTATTGCAGCCTTTCCTTCCCAGTATCCTGGATGGACTGATCCACTTGGCAGCTCAGTTCAGTTCAGAGGTCCTCAATCTTGTGATGGAAACACTCTGCATTGTCTGTACAGTAGACCCAGCATTTACAGCAAATGTGGAGAACAAAATCTGCCCCTTCACCATAGCAATCTTCCTCAAGTACAGTAATGGTATGTGCCCAAAGTGTGTCTTTTAAATATTGCTCTGTCTTTGCTAATGGAGTCTGGTCAAGATTAATCTCTTGCAGGCTACCTGTAAAATTGACATTTAAAGTGTGTATTTAAAATGTACAGAATGACATTTTGGAAATACATTATTCTTAAATTTTAAGGCCAGATGGGACAATTATCATCTAGTCTGAGGCCTGGTCTACACTTACCCCCCAATTCAAACTAAGGTACGCTACTTCAGCTACGTGAATAACGTAGCTGAAGTCGAAGTACCTTAGTTCGAACTTACCTCGGTCCACACGCGGCAGGCAGGCTCCCCCGTCGACGCCGTGGTACTCCTCTCGTATAGCTGGAGTACCGCAGTCGACGGCGATCACTTCCTGGTTCGACTTATCACGTCCAGACAAGACGCGATAAGTCGAACCCAGAACTTCGATTCCCAGCCGCCGAACTAGTGGCTGGGTGTAGACATACCCTGACATCTTGTATAGCACAGGCCAGAGAATTGTGCCCATTGATTCCTGTATCTAGACCATATTTTTTGCTCTGGTTCACCCACTTTCTATAGGAAGAAATCCAATTTTGATATAAAAATTTAAGTGATGGAGAATCAATCGCATCCCTTGGCAAGTAGTTTCAAAAATGTGCACTTTATTTCTAATCTGAATTTGTCAAGTTTCAACTTACAGCCATTGGATCTTGTTCTGCCTTTGTCTGCTACATTAAAGACCCTTCTGCCATCGAAATCTTCTACCCACATAAGTGCTTATAGACCATAATCAAGTTCTCTTAACCTTCTTTTTGATAAGGGCTTTGCAATAGCTTTCTGCACTATTAGTGAAGTATAAGAACTGGTATGATATGCAGTTGTGTGTGAAAAGAGAACTTTTTTCTATCAGGAATAATGTAGGGGGCAGGCTGACAAGAGGGCATTTTGTATATAAAAGGATGATTCTTACTTGTCCTGAAGTACTAAGTTGAGGTATTAAACCATTCTGAGGAAGCAGTACTATTTGGCATTCAACTTTCCCTTTGTTTCCTTAAATGGAGTTTATCCAATAAAATCCCAGATTGGTTTACTCTTGATCAGCTGTCTGTTACAGCATGCCTTGTTGCCTGAAGCCATCCTCTTATTAGATTTCTGTTAACATTGCACTATCAGTCACTAGTGTGTAGACAAGTCTGTGTCCATTGATGAAAGTGGACAGGACAGGTTTTCTAAGGTTGCTCTCATGATCTGAATTGTTGAATGTATTAAGCCCTGTTACCCAGGTACTGGGCTGCCTAAATTCTGTTTGAGTAAGTAGAATAAATAGGTAACCTCTGCTGAGAGTGTAGCATGTGCAATAGATGTCAGAATTGACTAAAGAGGTGTGACTTATTAATAACTAGTCCTGTGAGAGGTACCTCTGCATGTATACACTTCTGGGAATTGGGTCCCCTGCTGCCTTGTGCTCAGAACTCCTTAGCAAGCTGCGTCACTTGGTGGAGGCACAAGTGCCCTCTCAATGTTGAAAGTCTGACTGGGGTTCAAGGGAAAAGAACTGAGGCAGAAGCTAGTACATTCCCTTATATGACCACAGCAGTGTCCAGAGATATATAAAGAATTCTGAGGAAGGAGGGAAAGGCAGGCAGGAAGTGTGAATATACAATTTCACTATCTTTGTATATATTTTTGTTGCCACCTTTGGGAAATTGTAACAAGCAGCGGAGTCTAGGTGGAGGGTGAACTGAGGAACTGTTAATTTAAAAAGGGGGCAACTGACAGAGTGGGAGTAATCTAGGTCTGGCTCACAACTCTGTACACTTCGTAAGTGTCCTTGTGTGGGCCAAATTGAGAGATAATTAGGACTGGGTGATTAAGCAATTAATGAGGGGATTCAGCTTATCAGTTGGGGATTGTTAAATGGGAGATAAGGAGAGGGAAGAAAGGGCAAAGAAGATCAGGATCTGAGAAGTGAGATATCTCCTTCCTCCCTGTGCCTAGGATGTATGCTGAAGCCTGGGAAAAGCCTTTTGGTGATGGGACATTAAACTGCATAAGATATTGGGAGTAAAGTACACTGGTGAACTTACATAAGAGCATGTGAATACTCTTTGCACAGAGAAATTCAGGGTGCGGGAGCCCACCCTGTGACAAGTGGGGGCTTATCCAGGATTTCCTATTCCAATGTAGGCAAAGGACCAGAAAGGGAAGCTGATGAGAAGGCACAGCGGACTCGGCAGTATGGAGGAACTTCTGCGCTGGGTAGTTGAGCAACAAAAGGAGTTACAGAAAACCTTCCAGGAGTTTCAACAGAGGGCACAAACAGTCCTTGTTATCCGAGATAAGCCTCCACTTGTCACAGGGTGGGCTCCCGCACCCTGAATTTTTTTTGCAAACAGTCCTCACACACACTTAGGTAAGTTGCCCACAGTGTATTTACAATGTCATATGGAACTTCATGTCCCATCACCATAAAGCTTTTCCCAACCTTCAACATACCCCCTTAGATAAAGGGAGGTGAGGAGGAAAGAGATCTCACTTCTTGATCCTGAGTTTCTTTGCCCTTCCTTCTCTGTCTTTCTGCCTCCCATTTAACAGTCCCCAGCTAAATCCCCCTGTTAACTGGTTAACCACCCACACCTTGTTAATTATCTCCCAATTTGGCAGGGATGCTTACAAAATGCACAGAATGGTGAGCCAGCCCTAGGGTGCCAAGTACAGCAAGTAGTGTATTAAATTCCATGTAGCCATTCTACAAATCTCCACAACAAAGACATTCTGATAACAAGCCATGGAAGTGGTATTAGCCATGATGGAGTGGGCCCTCGCTAAGGAGTAAGTCTATATAATCTTTAATCCACTCTCAGCCTGTTAGAGGAGATGGTATTCCCCTGATGCTGATCACTATAGACCAGTCAGAAACTATTCAGAAGTTTCAGAGACTGTCTAAATGGTTTGGAATCATAGAATGGAATCATAGAATATCAGGGTTGGAAGGGACCTCAGGAGGTCATCTAGTCCAACCCCCTGCTCAAAGCAGGACGAACCCCAACTAAATCATCCCAGCCAGGGCTTTGTCAAGCCTGACCTTAGAGGTTTTTAAGGAAGGAGATTCAACCACCTCCCTAGGTAACCTATTCCACTGCTTCACAACCCTCCTAGTGAAAACGTTTTTCCTAATATCCAACCTAAACCTCCCCCACTGCAACTTGAGACCATTACTCCTTGTTCTGTTATCTGCCACCACTGAAAACAGCCGAGCTCCATCCTCTTTGGAACCCCCTTTCAGGTAGTGGAAAGCAGCTACCAAATTCCCCCCCAATTCTTCTCTTCTGCAGACTAAACAATCCCAGTTCCCTCAGCCTCTCCTCACAAACCATGTGCTCCAGCCCCCTAATCATTTTTGTTGTCCTCCAAAACTGGACACAGTACTCCAGATGAGGCCTCACCAATCTTGAATAGAGGGAATGATCACATCCCTCGATGTGCTGGCAATGACCCTACTTATACAGCCCAAAATGCCATTAGCCTTCTTGGCAACAAGGGCACACTGTTGACTCATATCCAGCTTCTCGTCCACTATAACCCCTAGGTCCTTTTCTGCAGAACTGCTGTCTAGCCACTCGGTCCCTAGTCTGTAGCAGTGCATGGGATTCTTCCATCCTAAGTGCAGGACTCTGCACTTGTCCTCGTTGAACCTCATCAGATTTCTTTTGGCCCAATCCTCTAATTTGTCTAGGTCCCTCTGTATCCTATCCCTACCCTCCAGCATATCTACCACTCCTCCCAGTTTAGTGTCATCTGCAACCTTGCTGAGAGTGCAGTCCACGCCATCCTCCAGATCATTAATGAAGATATTGAACAAAACCTGCCCCAGGACTGACCCTTGGGGCACTCCGCTTGATACCAGCTGCTAACTAGACATGGAGCCATTGATCACTACCCGTTGAGCCCGACGATCTAGCCAGCTTTCTATCCATCTTGTAGTCCATTCATCCAGCCCATACTACTTTAACTTCCTGGCAAGAATACTGTGGGAGACTGTATCAAAAGCTTTGCTAAAGTCAAGGAATAACACATCCACTGCTTTCCCCTCATCCACAGAGCCAGTTATCTCGTCATAGAAGGCAATTAAGTTAGTCAGGCATGACTTGCCCTTGGTGAATCCATGCTGATTGTTCCTGATCACTTTCCTCTCCTCTAAGCACTTCAGAATTGATTCCTTGAGGACCTGCTCCATGATTTTTCCAGGGACTGAGGTGAGGCTGACTGGCCTGTAGTTCCCCAGATCCTCCTTCTTCCCTTTTTTAAAGATGGGCACTACATTAGCCTTTTTCCAGTCATCCAGGACCTCCCCTGATTGCCATGAGTTTTCAAAGATAATGGCCAATGGCTCTGCAATCACGTCCGCCAACTCCTTTAGCGCCCTCGGATGCAGCACATCCGGCCCCATGGACTTGTGCTCGTCCAGTTTTTCTAAATAGTCCCGAACCACTTATTTCTCCACAGAGGGCTGGTCACCTCCTCCCCATACTGTGCTGCCCAGTGCAGTAGTCTGGGAGCTGACCTTGTTCGTGAAGACAGAGGCAAAAAAAGCATTGAGTACATTAGCTTTTTCACATCCTCTGTCGCTAGGTTGCCTCCCTCATTCAGTAAGGTGCCCACACTTTCCTTGACTTTCTTCTTGTTGGTAACATACCTGAAAAAAACCTTCTTGTTACTCTTAACATCCCTTGCCAGCTGCAACTCCAAGTGTGATTTGGCCTTCCTGATTTCACTCCTGCATGCCTGAGCAATATTTTTATACTCCTCCCTGGTCATTTGTCCAATCTTCCACTTCTTGTAAGCTTCTTTTTTGTGTTTAAGATCAGCAAGGATTTCACTGTTAAGCCAAGTTGGTCGCCTGCCATATTTACTGTTCTTTCTACACATCGGGACGGTTTGTTCCTGCAACCTCAATAAGGATTCTTTAAAATACAGCCAGCTCTCCTGGACTCCTTTCCCCCTCATGTTATTCTCCCAGGGGATCCTGCCCATCAGTTCCCTGAGGGAGTCAGTCTGGTTTTCTGAAGTCCAGGGTCCGTATTCTGCTGCTCTCCTTTCAGGATCCTGAACACGACCATCTCATGGTCACTGCCTCCCAGGTTCCCATCCACTTTTGCTTCCTCCACTAATTCTTCCCTGTTTGTGAGCAGCAGATCAAGAAGAGCTCTGCTCCTAGTTGGTTCCTCCAGCACTTGCACCAGGTAATTGTCCCCTACACTTTCCAAAAACTTCCTGGATTGTCTGTGCACTGCTGTATTGCTCTCCCAGCAGATATTGGGGTGATTGACATCCCCCATGAGAACCACAGCCTGCAATCTAGTAACTTCTGTTAGTTGCCAGAAGAAAGCCTCGTCCACCTCATCCCCCGGTCTGGTAGTCTATAACAGACTCCCACCACGACATCACCCTTATTACTCACACTTCTAAACTTTAATCCAGAGAGACTCAGGTTTTTCTGCAGTTTCATACCGGAGCTCTGAGCAGTCATACTGCTCTCTTACATACAATACAACTCTCCCACCTTTTCTGCCTTGCCTGTCCTTCCTGAACAGTTTATATCCATCCATGACAGTACTCCAGTCATGTAAGGTATCCCACCAAGTCTCTGTTATTCCAAACACATCATAATTCCTTGACTGTGCCAGGACTTCCAGTTCTCCCTGCTTGTTTCCCAGGCTTCTTGCATTTGTGTATAGGCACTTAAGATAACTCGCTGATTGTCCTGCTTTCTCAGTATGAGGCAGGAGTCCTTCCCTCTTGCACTCTCCTGCTCGCGCTTCCTCCCGGTATTCCACTTCCCGACTTACCTCAGGGCTTTGGTCTCCTTCCCCCCGGTGAACCTAGTTTAAAGCCCTCCTCACTAAGCTAGTCACCCTGCTTGCGAAGATCCTCTTCCCTCTCTTCATTAGGTGGAGCCCATCTCTGCCTAGCAATCCTCCTTCTTGGAACACCATCCCATGGTCAAAGAATCCAAAGCCTTCTCTCCGACACCACCTGCGTAGGCATTCGTTGACTTCCACGATTTGACAGTCTCTACCTGGGCCTTTTCCTTCCACAGAGAGGATGGACGAGAACACCACTTGCGCCTCAAACTCCTTTATCCTTCTTCCCAGTGCCACATAGTCTGCAGTGATCCGCTCAAGGTCATTCTTGGCAGTATCATTGGTGCCCATGTGGAGAAGCAGGAAGGGGTAGCGATCCAAGGGCTTGATGAGTCTCGGCAGTCTCTCCATCACATCGTGAATCCTAGCTCCTGGCAAGCAGAACACTTCTCGGGACGACAGATAGATGACTCCCTGAGTAGGGAGTCCCTGACCACCACCACCCACCTTCTTCTCTTGGGAGTGGTGGTCGTGAAACCCCCATCCCTAGGACAGTGCATCTCATGCTTTCCAATCAGTGGAGTCTCCTTCTGCTCCCTTTCCTCAGATGTATCATCCGCATTAGTATCTGTGGAGAGAACATGAAAACTATTGCTCAACTATATCTGCATTGCTGGTACATGGACGCTCCTCTTTCTTCTTCTGGAGATCACATGCTGCCAAATTTCTTCACTGTCTTTCTGTCCCCGCTGTGCAGCCTGCTCTGATTCTTCAAAATGTTGTGCCCGTAGAAGCATATTCTGATGTCTGTCCAGGAAATCTTCATTTTCTCTTATGCAACACAGGGTTGATACTTGTTTCTCCAGACCTTGAACCTTCTCTTCCAATATGGAGACCAGCTTGTACTTTGTACAGACAAAGTCACTTCTGTCCTGTGGAAGAAAGACAAACATGGCACATCCTGTGCAGGTCAGAACAGCTGATCGCTCACCATCCATATTAACTTCCTTCTAAGAGCTTCCTCAGGTGTTCCAGCAACTCCTCACAGGAGCCTGCAAGTTGAAAGCCTCCATGGGCTCTCCCCAGGCAGACTCCCCATCAAACTCCCTCTGTTAGCCGTTCCTCTGGTTCGCAGCTGACTGCCTCTTTATAACAGTCAGGCCCACTCAAGGCCCACCTGTAACAAAGCACTCCCAATTCACACTTTTCAAACAATCAAGCACACGGTGAAACTGACAAACTGTCCGCACAACAGACACTCAGATACTCACCGACACAGCCCCCCTAATGCAGCACTTAGTGTCCCTCCTAGGTTTGGACCTAGGATCTTTTTAACATCTAATGCAACGTTTTGCAAACTGGGGTCCATGGGTCCCGCTTATCAGCTCCTCCCTAGGTCGTAGGGGGATGTCCCAGATGGGTCTGGTTTGGCTTGGAACCAGATTTGGGAACCATGGACAGCACTGCAGACATCTCTTTCTCAATGGGAATAGGTTTTAGGACTCAAGAAGGCCTCTTGTGATCATGCTCAGTACTGGAGCCATGAGCTGCCTGTTCCAAGGCACCCACTTGAAGGGCTCACTGCATCAGGAAGGCAGAGTCCTAGACCCAGAGCAAGGTATGTATCTCTGTGATGTGGAGGTAGAGAAACTGAGCAGCAGGATGCATTCTTTTATGTAATTTTGCCAGACATGCATTTAACTTAGCAAAGACATAACAAGATCCAGTAGATGGAAGCTGAAGCTAGACAAATTCAGACTGAAAATAAGCACAAAGTTGTTTCAGGGAGGGTGATTATTAGAACAACCTTCCTAGGGACATAGTGGATTTTCCACCTCATGGAATCTTCAAATTGAGATTGGATGACAAAGTTATGGACTCGATGAAGGAATCACTGAATTAAATTATATGGCCTGTGTTGTACAGGAGGTCAAACTAGATCTTGATCAGCCCTTCTGACCTTAAAGTCTATGAATTTACGTCTCTAGCTCTTATGGTTGCAACAAAAATGTTTAAAATATGAACTTTGTAATGCAGTAATGCCAGCCTGAGTCTCCAAACACCCTTAATCAGTATAACTGTATAAGAGAAGTTTAACTTGTCATTAGGTTTGATGGCTATATGTAAACTTCAACTACCTTATTGTAGAATATCTTAACAAAAACATCAATTTGTTCTGCTTATTTATTGTTGGTATTGGGTAGCTATCCACTGAGGTAACTGAGTGCTGGTAGAGTTGTTTGGGTTGCCTGAATGAGGAATTCAAATGCACCACCACCAAATTTTAAATTAACTCTCTCCTTTTCTGAAAGGAATCCCCTTCCAAATACTGAAGGCCTAAACTGCTTCCTGTATATCAAAAACCATAACAGTTTTCCATATATTTCTAGGTGCCAAAGCTAGGGTTCCCTACCCAGGCGTCAAAACTTCCAGCTTTCCCCTGACAATTTCTGTGGTGCAGTTAAACTTTGTCACTGCAAAATGCTGCCCCAGACTGAAGGCTGCAAGTTTGTGGATGGCATAAAATTAAGTTTAATACTAAAAATCATTTGTATCAAACGTACTTACTGCACTGGTCTGGGGGGCAATGAAGGGCAAAGGGGTGAGGGTGAAATGCTGCATTATTCCCATTCCCTGTTGTATCAGATTTGTTGTGCAGCATGGTACTTGGTTCCTTGGCTACAGACACAAATATACTGTAAGTCTATCTTCATGCACAGAATTGTTTAGTAAATGCCATATAGCCATACAGAAACTGATTGACTTTTCTTCCAATTACTTCTAGTTGCTTTCTGAGGCTGAAAGTAAACTGGATGCTCCAGTAAAGACTGTTCGTGTAACCTCCTGTCATAAAATTTGCAGCTTACCTTACTGAAATGAAAACTTTAGACCAATACTCATTAGTTTGTCTTAGTAACTGGTGCTTTCTCACTCTAGATCCTGTTGTTGCCTCTCTCGCACAAGATATCTTTAAGGAGCTAGCACAGATAGAAGCCTGCCAAGGTCCAATGCAGATGAGACTAATCCCAACTCTCGTCAGCATCATGCAGGCTCCTGCTGATAAGATTCCAGCAGGGCTTTGTGCAGTAAGTACTATGGCAAAAGATGGTTTAGCTGCAGGTTGGGTTCTTGCAGCAGCTAATAAAAGCATTGGCATTATGCCATTCCATCAACCTGTTTTGGTATGAAAAGAGCAAGAACAGATGCTCATAAACTACTATTGAGCGATGTCTTTAGTGACTGAGAACTTTCTGTGGGGAAAGAAATCTCCAGGCTTGGAAGAAATGCACATCATCGTCTTTTATCTCTCAGTTGTCTGTCAGTCTTCTTCCAGTCTTTACAAAGTGTCTTTAGCTCTTTCTTACCATTTGAAATAGTGCAACCTATGGAAGTAAGTTTTCTCACAATAGGGCATTCTCCAGTAATGCACATTACATGTCATAGACATGGTACATGCACAGATTGTTAGAACTCAAGCTGGATGTATCCTCTCATGTGAGTTTGCACCTTTCTGTACACAATGAAACACCACACATGTAACTGTATATATGTAAAATATATAGGATCACGCTTTATATTGAGATTCCATTTATAAAGCATTAATACATGATTAAAATATTTATAATATCCATCAGAGAGGAGTATATATTATACCTAGTTATAAGCACATCAGTAGAAGGTGGGTTTTATGTCATTATAACTGGCTGTTATGAGTAAGGTTGCATGTCTGTCATGGAGGTCACGGAAGTCACTGATTCTGTGACTTTCCATGACTTCAGCAGCAGCCGGTGCGGCTGGCTCCGGAGCTGCCCAAGCAGATCAGGCAGCCCCTGGGGCATTTTGGGTGTGGGTGTGGGTTCAAGGCTGAGGTGGGGGATTGAGGTGCAGGATGGCACTTACCTCGTGGGAGGCTCCCCAGAAGCAGACGGCATGTGCCTGCAGCTCCTAGGCAGGGGACTAGGGGGCTCTGCGTGCTGCTCCTGCCCACAGGTGCCACCCCCACAGCTCCCATTGGCTGTGGTTCCCAGCCAATGGGAGCTGTGGAGCCGGAGCACGTGGTGGGTACAGCGCACAGAGCTCCCCTGGCCTTCCCTCCCCCTAAGAGCTGCAGGGACACGTGGAGCTGGGTAGGGAGCCTGCCAGCCCCACCAACCCTCCCCCACAGTACAAGTGGGGGTCCTGGGCCATGCGCTGCTGCCCAACCCTTCTCCCTCCCTCCCCATCTCTCCCCCCCACCCCCACCCCCACCCCGGCACCAGCGGGGATCCCGGGCTGCACTCCCGGACTGCCCCCGCAGAGCACCCGTGCCACACCCATCCCCCCGGCCAAAGTTTTAGTTAGGGATATAGTACAAGTCATGGGGTATGTCAACACTACGAAATTAGGTCGATTTTATAGAAGTCAATTTTTAGAAATCGATTTTATATAGTCGATTGCGTATGTCCCCACTAAGCACATTAAGTCGACGGAGTGCGTCCTCACTACCGTGGCTAGCATTGACTTACAGAGCGGTGCACTGTAGGTAGCTATCCCACAGTTCCCGCTGCCCATTGGAATTCTGGGTTAAGTTCCCAATGCCTGATGGGGCAAAAACATTGTCGCAGGTGGTTTTGGGTACATGTCATCAGTCGCCCCTCCCTCCGTGAAAGCAACGGCAGACAATTGTTTCGCACCTTTTTTCCTGGGTTACCTGTGCAGACACCATACCCCGGCAAGCATGGAGCCTGCTCAACTCACCATCAGCACTGCTTTTGTGAGCATTGTAAACACCTCGCGCATTATCCTGGAGTATATGCAGAACCAGGCTAAGAGACGCCAGCACGAGGAGGATTTTGATGAGGACATGGACACAGACATTCCTGAAAGGATGGGCTGTGGCAATTGGGACATCATGGCAGCAGTGGGGCTGGTTGATACAGTGGAATGCCAATTCTGGGCCAGGCAAACAAGAACAGACTGGTGGGACTGCATAGTGTTGTAGGTATGGAATGATTCACAGTGGCTGCGAAACTTTTGCATGCGTAAGGCCACTTTTCCGGAACTCTGTGAGTTGCTTTCCCCAACCCTGAAGTGCAGGAATACTAAGATGAGAGCTGCCCTGACAATTGAGAAGCGAGTGGCGATAGCCCTGTGGAAGCTTGCAACGCCTGACTGCTACTGGTCAGTCAGGAATCAATTTGGAGTGGGCAAGTCTACTGTGGGGGCTGCTGTGATGCAAGTAGCCAATGCAGTCATTGATGTTCTGTTATCAAGGGTAGTGACTTTGGGAAATGTGCAGGTCATACTGGATGGCTTTGCTGCAGTGAGGTTCCCTAACTGTGGTGGGGCGATAGACAGAACGCATATCCCCATCTTGGCACCGGACCACCTTGCCAACCAGTATGTGAACCGCAAGGGGTACTTCTCAATGGTACTGCAAGCACTGGTGGATCACAAGGGACGTTTCACCGACATCAATGTGGAATGGCCAGGAAAGGTGCATGACACTTGCATCTTTAGGAACTCTGGGCTGTTCGAGCAGCTGCAAGAAGGGACTTACTTCCCAGACCAGAAAATTACCATTGGGGATGTTGAAATGCCAATAGTTATCCTTGGGGACCCAGCCAACCCCTTGCTCATGAAGCCTTCACAGGCAGCCTGGACAGTAGTAAAGAGCAGTTCAACTATAGACTGAGCAAGTGCAGAATGGTGGTAGAATGTGCCTTTGGATGTTTAAAAGCTCGCTTGCGCTGTTTGCTGAGTAGGTCCGACCTCAGCGCAACCAACATTCCCATTGTTATTGCTGCTTGCTGTGTGCTCCATAATATCTGTGAGAGTAAGGGGGAGACATTTATGGCGGGGTGGGAGGTTGAGGCAAATCGCCTGGCGTCCGATTTTGAGCAGCCAGACACCAGGGCGATTAGAAGAGCACAGCAAGGCACGCTGTGCATCAGAGAGGCTTCGAAAACCAGTTTCATGACAGGCCAGGCTTCGGTGTGACAGTTGTGTGTGTTTCTCCTTGATGCAAACCCGCCCCCTTTGTTGATTTTAATTCCCTGTAAGCCAACCACCCTCCCCACTTTGAAATAAAGTAACTATTGTTTTGAAACCATGCATTCTTTCTTTATTAATTAAAAAAAAAAAAAGATAACTGACAAGGTAGCCCGGGTGGGGTGGGGGAGAAGGGAAGGACAAGGCGACATTGTTTGTTGTAACCATTCTGAAAATCAAACTGTTTGAATGACAGCCTTCTGTTGCTTGGGCCATCCTGGAGTGGAGTGGCTGGGTGCCCAGAGCCTCCACCCCTGCATTCTTGGGCATCTGGGTGAGGTGGATATGGAACTTGGGGAGGAGGGGAGGCGGTTATACAGTGGATGCAGTGGTGGTCTGTGCTCTTGTTGGCTTTCCTGCAGCTCCAACAGACGCTTCATCATGTCTGTTTGCTCCCCCATTAGCCTCAGCATCGCGTCCTGCCTCCGCTCTTCGCGCTCACTTAATTCTTTGCTGTCCTCTGCCACTGAATGCCTCCATGCATTAAGCTGTGCCCTATCAGTGCAGGAGGACTGCGTGAGCTTGGAAAACATGTCATTGCGAGTGCGGTTTTTTTCACCTTCTAATCTGCGATAACCTCAGGAATTGAGATGGTAGGGCGAGCGTAGAAACATTTGCACCTGGGGAGTGATAAAAAGGGAGAGTAACATTTAAGATGATATATTTCTGAAAACAAAAGGAAGACTCTTTCACAGTGAATCAAGCAATTCACAGCAGACAGCACATGTGCTTTAGGTACAAGGTCACATTTTGCCTTTTATATTGAGCGCCTGCCAGTATGGTAACACATCACACATGGCTGGGCAACAGAATTCGGTTTCCAGGCAGCCATAGTAAGCTTTTTGGTACGCAGGGTTGGCTGCTTATGCCTTCATAACGTGGGAATGTTTTCAAACTGCAGCGCCCTCCTTTCCCAGAGCAAGCAATGGGTTGGGTTTCACATTTAAAAGGAGGGGCTGCGGTTTTCGGGTGGATGTGCAGCACCCCCCACCCCACCGTGTGGCTATTCTCTGGGATGATCACTTTTAGCCAAGTGCAAACAGCCCATCATGAACAAGGTCCTTTTACTGTTCCCTTACAAAAATTCCCCTATTTCAACCAGGTGACTATGAAATCATATCGCTCTACTGAGGCTAACACAGACAAATATAGACCGAATGTTGCTTGAATGCGACCAAAACCCAGGACCCTTCGCTGCCATGCTTTGTGCTGCAATGATTCCAGAATACTTGCTACTGGCTTGGAGTGGTAAAGTGTCCTACCGTGGAGGACGAAATAAGGCAGCCCTCCCCAGAAACCTTCTGCAAAGGCTTTCAGAGTACCTCCAGGAGAGCTTCATGGAGATGTCCCTGGAGGATTCCCGCTCTATCCCCAGACATGTGAACAGACCTTTCCAGTAGCTGTACTGGCCGCGAATGCATCCCAGTTCTTCAGGGCAAATCAAACATTAAACACTATTGCTTTTAAACCCTGTACTGTAGTTACAAATGTGTACTCACCAGAGGTGCCATCTCTGGCTTCAGGGTCGGGGATTCCCACCTTGGGAGGGTATTAGCTCCAGGGTGATGAAAAGGTCCTGGCTGCCGGGGAGAACGGATTCACCACTTTCCTGCTGCACATTCTCCTCCTCCTCTTCCTCTTCTGCAAAATCCTCCCCCCTTGCAGGTGTCTAGGGACAGTGGTGGGTTAGTGGTAGGGTCTTCCCCTAGAATGCCATGCAACTGATCATAGAAGCGGCACCTATGGGGCTCTGACCCGGAGCGACCGTTTGCCTCCTTTGTCTTTTGGTAGGCTTGCCTGAGCTCCTTAACTTTAACACGGCACTGTTGTGTGTCCCTGTTGTAGCCTCTGTCCAACATGTCCTGTGAGATTTTGGCAAATATATTTGCATTTCTTCTTTTTGATCGGAGTTCGGCCTGCACAGATGCTTCTCCCCATACAGCAATCAGATTCAGTGTCTACCTTTCGGTCCATGCTGGAGCTCGTTTGCGATTCTGGGGGGACTGCATGGTCACCAGTGCCGCTGAGGTCGCCACGCTGACCAAACAGGAAATGAAATTCAAAAGTTCCTGGGGCTTTTCCTGTGTACCTGGCTAGTGCATCGGAGTTCAAAGTGCTGTCCAGAGCGGTCACAATGGAGCACTCTGGGATAGCTCCCAGAGGCCAATACCGTCGATTTGCGTCCACACTACCCCAAATTCGACCCAGCAACGTCGATTTTAGCTCTACTCCCCTCGTCAGGGAGGAGTACAGAAGTCTATTTTAAGAGCCCTTTAGGTCGACGGAACGGGGTTGGTTGTGTGGACACAGTCATTGTTAAATTGACCTAATGCAGCTAAATTCGACCTAACCCTGTAGTGTAGACCAGGCCATGGACAGGTCACAGGCCGTCAGTTTTCATTTACTGCCTGTGACCTGTCCATGACTTTTACTAAAAATACCCATAACTAAAACATAGCCTTAGTTATGATCAGTCTATTGACCTGTCTTATTCTGACAATTGATTAACCCTAACATGCACCCCTTTTAAAATCAAATGGAATGATATAAAGTGTGATCATAGAGATAAATGTACATATGCACTGTCACACTTGCCACTATTGAACTAAAATTTGAATTAACTGGTAAGGGGAGTCAGTTGTTCTGCACTAACTGCCAGTGCAGGGGCATTTGTGGGTAGTGTCACATGTGATTTGAATAGATACAAATGGAATGGCTACATGCATATTTTTCATATTGCTCAGCCCAGCCTTTTGAGAACCTGCTTGCATGTTGAGAAGCACTTTTTAAAATAAGTGATTTTTGTTGAATCCCCTTTTGAGCTTTCTGCCGGTTGAGGAAGGCTATCTTGCTGAAGACCCCTACTCTTACATTTTAAGGGTGCATAGTTGATAAGAGGAAGAGATATTCAGTCCTCCTGCAGTATTTATAAACGTCCTTTCTGGTTTGCCCTTGATTCCTTTAGGTGAATCAGATTAACTGAAATGTTTCACCACACAAGCCTTTTTAAAATAACTTCAGGTGCATCTGTATACCAGCAGAACAGCATGTTGTCAAGGGTGACTGTGAAAGTACCTTTGCTATTGGCTACCTGCTATCTTCAAACCTCCCTGGTGGTAGTTTTTCTGAGACATGTTAGAGGTAAAAGCTAAAAAATCTGCTTTGTTTTCTTACAAAGTGTAATCCATCCCATGAAGCCTTGTGAAATGGGAGTGATCAGAGCCACTTGGACACACACAACTGATGCTAAAAAGCTTCCTTATTTGGAAAAGGGGGGTTAAAAACTACCTGCTGCTGAACATTGGCCTTTACCTGCTACCGAAATAATGTGTTTCCTGTACAGGGAAAGAGCTGCTGCTGAATGCTCCATCTGTTGTCATTCAGCTGCCTGCTCCATATCTATCAAGTGCTGGTGACTGGCAGCAGGGGTTTGACATGGGTTGGGGTAGAAATGAGGCTCTGTTCTTAGGAAATCATCCTTATAAGACTCCTGTTCAATCTGCAGTGTGTGTGATGGGTGACATCTCCTGCACTCACTAGTAACCAAAGCATTTCTGCAACTTTTAAAAAGGAGCCCGCTTTGAAGAAAACAAAATCAATCCCCCCCCCCCCCCCCCCCCGTCCCTGTGTGAGCGAGGCAGCACAGGAGAATCTGCATTGTCACTGTTGTGTGCCCTCCCCCATTACCAGGTTGGCCTTCACATCTTACCCTGCCCTTTCAGGCTTTGTGAAAATGCTGAGTTACAGTGCTGGGACTGCTGTTTAAAAGAGCTTCTATTTGTGTGCTTTCCCCTTTCAGACTTCTATTGATATATTAACCACTGTTGTGAGGAATACGAAACCTCCTCTTTCCCAGCTCTTGATCTGCCAAGCATTCCCTGCGGTGGCTCAGTGCAGCCTGCACACGGATGACAATGCTACCATGCAGGTAACGTCTATAGGGAAGGGGAAGGGACTACAGGGTCATGTCAGTCAAAAGCATTGGATGACACAAGTCAGTCACTTGTCGTGCTTTATCTAGTCTTTAAGGGATCATTTTGCCTTTTGGGGGCTCAGCAGCCACACTAGTGGTTTGCCAGAAGCCTGAGTGCCATTCCTATCTTTTATAAATAATTGTTGCCATCCTCATTTTGGTGTCTGTGTTGAGTTTTGCTGATCCTTCTTTTAACTGGCAGGTCAGGACCAGTCTTGGTCTTTTCTCTTTAGGACTCTGGAGCATGCCAGGAACATGTCCCTTTTTTCCCTTGTAATTAACCTGCCTGGCAGAGGCTTTCTGTCAAAGCAGCCTCAGCATGGGGAGCCCAGGCCTTGCTTCAAAGTAGACAAGTCTCCCCTGTTAATTCGAGTGGGGTAAAACAGGAGGCAAGGGGAAAAATCAGATTTGATCCCAATTCTCCTCTTCCCCCAGTTGGCAGCATTTATCAAAGGAAAGTGGCTAAAGAAGCAGGGGGAGTGAAAATGCTCAGGGCAGGCGTCACTGCTTGCTATTGGTCCCTGATTTCCTCAGAACACCTAACTTTCTCTGAGTAGTGGTTGCTTTCCTGCTGCTCCCCCCGTCCTGGCCAGTTCCTGCCTCACCATATTTTCTTCCTTTTCCCCTCCACCAAACTCCCAGAGCCTTTGCAGGTGAGTAGGAAAGGGACACCAGCACCTTTTGTCCTCTATCTACCAGTAGCCACTGCTGCTGCCTGATGAGGTCATCAGAGCAGCTCTAAGCAAGGAATTGGGACTTGCAAGGTTATAGGAAGCAAGGCCTTCTGACCCTTTCAACTCCTGAAACATGTTTGTGAATAGACCAAGGTGGGTCAGTTACTCACCCTGACCTTCAAACAGAGAAAAGCAACTTCGTGGCTCCAACTTCCGTTTCTCACGTGGGTGTGGCCCATGAAAACAGGTCCCACTGAGCAGTGCTCCAGCGAGAATAAGGTGAATACGGTGTGCTGGATTGCTGCACTGCAGTCTTTTTTGAAATAGAGAGCTTTACTGTAGAAATCTGGGTCATGTTTGTCCCTCATGCTGCTCTCTAGCTACCCTGGACTGTAGCTGTTCAGAATCTCTTGGAATGTATCTGCATACTAGATTAATGAAACAGAATTGCAGATACTCGCACTCCAGGTCTTCTGAGCACTGGGTCTCTCACAACTTCCACCATTTTACCCATCACACACATCTTGTCTACTTTCAGAGTAGCAGCCGTGTTAGTCTGTATCCGCAAAAAGAACAGGGAGTACTTGTGGCACCTCTAAGTTAGTCTCTAAGGTGCCACAAGTACTCCTGTTCTTTTTATCTTGTCTACTAATTCTTTCTTCCTGTTTAAAGTGCTTTGTGCTGTGGTGAAATGGGTATTCTCTTTGGTTACTTGGGGGGTGCCCACAACATATACAGTTGATTTTGAGAGTCTGACGGTTCTAACACAGTAATTCTCTCTCTTGTATTTAGAATGGTGGTGAGTGTCTGCGTGCGTACGTCTCAGTAGCACTAGAACAGATTGCACAATGGCATGATGAGCAAGGCCACAATGGGCTGTGGTATGTCATGCAGGTGGTGAGTCAACTCCTGGATCCACGGACCTCAGAGTTCACAGCTGCTTTTGTGGGCAGACTAGTCTCCACACTGATTTCGAAAGCAGGAAGTGAGCTGGGAGAGAACCTGGACCAGATTCTGAGAGCAATCCTTAGCAAAATGCAACAAGCAGAGACACTCAGTGTAATGCAGGTGAGCAGGCTGGGAGGCCCACTGGAAGCAATGGTTCTAAGTGTCAGGAAGAGAAACACTGCCTGTCACTGGAAGTACAAGTTTACATTACATGCCTGTGTATCCACTACCTATGCAATTGCAGATTCTAGGTATGCTACAAAAATGGTTATCCTGTGGACATAGTTCCTGCCTTGAGGGATCAGAGGAATATGAATTTAAAGCCTTTCATCACGCATGTTGTTAGCCATCTCCTGACTTTGGCACTTCCTACTGAAATTTCAGTTGAGGTGTACTTGAGAGCTAGGAATATCACTTAGTCTCTTCTAGAAGTTGAGTGGTGTTTTCTTAGAGAACAGTAAATAGGCAAATATCAAGCAGAAGTAGAGAGATGATGTTACCACTATATAACACAGTAGTGAAGCCATTACTGGAATACTATGTCTTGTTTTATTTGTTATACAGAACAATGCTGGTAAACTGGGGCTTATTCAAATATATTTTAATGCAGCCAAATGCAAGGTCACCTAAGAAAAAAGAATGTAGGTCCCAGCTGCATTCTAATAAACAGAAACAGAGGCTATTTTAAAAACGTAGATTCCTGCTTTTCTTATTAAAGTTTAAGAATATTGTTCATTTTTAACTGCTTGGTCTTTGAGTCAGAACCTTGGAAAGCTACACCGTGTAACCAAAAACTGAAAGTTTTAGGAAGGTGAGCAGTGCGGTTACTAAGCCAGGTGGTTCATCTCCACTGGAGAAGTGCTATTGGGTTGGGTTTCATGAGAAGGGGGAATGGGGATAGTCTTGTGGTGAAGGCACTGGGCTAGGACTTGGACTCTGTGTATGTCTGTGGGCAAGTGACTTAATGTCTGTGCCTCAACTGGAAAGGGGGTAAGAGCCTTTCTCCCACTCTCTCTCTCTTGTCTGTTTAGGTTGGAAGCTCTTCAGGGCAGGGACTGTCTCTGTCTATATGTACAGCATCCAGCACAATGGTGCCCTGATCTTTATTGCATCTTCTAGGGGCTACCATGATCTAAATCATTATTTTTTCTGGTGGAGAGCCCAGTGCCACCTCTGCTGGTTTAGTCATTTTTGTCCTTGCTTTTGGAGGGGTTGTGGGTTTCAGATGCAGGTGAGAAGTTTAACTTGTTCTGTCTCATTCTGTGGGCTAAATAAGGTGGCAATCACTCACTCCTTGTCTAATTCACTTGCTTTCTTGGCTAGTGGACAGGCTTGCAGGGATCTGTACGCCTTTTAGTGTTAGCAAACGCATGAAGCCTCCAGGGGTTTGGTAAAGAGAAAACACTTAATTGTTGGGTTATTACATATGTACAGCTAGTTTTCCTTTTTTTTTTTTTTTTTTTTTTTTTTTTTTGTAGTCCTTGATCATGGTATTTGCTCACCTGGTTCACTCCCAGCTGGAGCCCTTGTTAGAGTTCCTGAGTAGTCTCCCTGGGCCAACTGGCAAGCCTGCTTTGGAATTTGTAATGGCTGAATGGATGAGTCGGCAGCATTTGTTCTATGGACAATATGAAGGCAAAGTCAGGTAAGATAGTCCATAAGCCAAATGCTTGCACTACCTCTGCAGCATTCTAGCTGCTTGCCCCGTTATATTTTGTAGCTAGGTGCACGGGGTGGTGGGGTAAATTGTAAGCCACCTGGAACAAAAACCAACTCTGCTCCAATACTGGACTGAAATCTCTTCCTCCTTTGCTGTCAGACTGTACTAAATGGCAGCTCTGTATATGGAGAGGGAGGAAAAGGATTGCAGAACTGGAAACTGTCTGGGTTTTTTTTTCCTTTTACTGCCTAATCTTTTTTGTGTGAGAGCAGATGCTCAGTTGACTATAGAATGTACTTGAAAGAATGCATAAGGAAGGAGTTGGGAGAGATTTAAAATGCGAGAACTGGTGAGCACAGCTCATAGAATATTATCATTTATATTTACTGTTTCAAAGCACTGTAAAAGGTAATTGTTCAGGGTTTCTCAAAAGATGTTGGGTATCTTCACAATGGTGTAATAGAATCCAGATAATCAGTAGGGACAAGAGGAAAATCAACTGAAATATGATACCCTGTCCAGTCTCTACACCTGTTTTCCCAGTGGAAGCTGGGTTTTAGGGCTTTGATACAGCATCCAAGAATTTGAAGTGTGTTCTCAGCTTAGATTTAAGTTGTGCTACAGCTGATCTCTTTGCATTATACAGGAGGGTTAAATCTAACAGTCACCAGACTATTAAACTTATTCTTCTTCAAGTGCTTGCTCATGTCGATTCCGTTGAATAAGGAAAAGTTATTTATTTACTTGTTCCTATAATATAAGAACTAGGGGGCACCAAATGAAATTAATGGGCAGCAGGTTTAAAACAAATAAAAAGAAGTTCTTCTTCACACAGCGCACAGTCAACCTGTGGAACTCCTTGCCTGAGGAGGTTGTGAAGGCTAGGACTATAACAGGTTTTAAAAGAGAACTAGATAAATTCATGGAGGTTAAGTCCATGAATGGCTATTAGCCAAGATGGGTAAGGAATGGTGTCCCTAACCTCTGTTTGTCAGAGGGAGGAGATGGATGGCAGGAGAGAGATCACTTGATCATTGCCTGTTAAGTTCACTCCCTCTGGGACACCTGGCATTGGTCACTGTCGGTAGACAGAATACTGGGCTGGATGGACCTTTGGTCTGACCCAGTATGGCCGTTCTTATGTTTATGTTCTCATTCTAGGTGTGTGTGTGTGCCCACATGCAGTTGTCAGAGACTTTTGCCTTAGCGGTATCTGTAGGGTCGGCTGTGGTGCCCCCTTGAGTGCTGCGCTCGTGTGTCGGTATATTAGACACCACCAACTGTATGCCCTCTCAGTTCCTTCGTACTGCGTGATGGTTGGAGCATTTTGTCTTGCAGATCACAAGAGCATTAACAGTTCTTTGCAGCCTTTGTTATCTTCTTTGTACATAGTTTGTAGGTATTTAGTTAGCCATTAAGTTAAGTGTTAGGTTAGTTGGTAGTTAGAGTCCTGGCTGGGACTTTGTCCCGGAACGGGGCATGCCCTGCTCTCCTGGCTTCAAACCATGTTCGACATGCAGCAGGCCGTGCCTATCAGTGACCCCCATGACAGCTGCTTGAAGTGTTTGGGGGACTCGCATAGAAAGAATAAGTGTCAAATCTGTAAAATCTTTCAACCTAGAACCTAAAAGGAGTGTGATATCTGTCTGGGGAACCTCCTCATGGAGGCTGTGCTTCGTCCTGCATCAGAGCCCTCCCACTCGGACTCCATGCCGAGCACTTCAGCTTTGGTGCTGAGTGCTCCCCCCGGCACCGTTCCCCCTTGCTGGTGCCTAAGAAGCAGCAAAAGAAGAGCATCCCCTCCCCCTCCGGCACTGGAAGGAAAAGGGGCCTTGGGCAAAGGACCAGTGTCAGGCCATGTGCCCACCCGTGGGCTTCATGGGGGTACCGTGGAGATCAGACACCCGCCAGCCCAACCAGGGATCTGACTGTGCAGAGTTGCAGGGGATCCCGGTCACAGTTCGCCACGTCCCAGGTCGCCTTCACCCAGATAGTCTCCCAGACATCGTCCCCGCCAGGGCGGGGCTGCTCTTTGTCATGGCACTGATCCCCTTGACCCCGGTACCATTCATTGGGCAGACGTCGTTCCTCACTCTCGCCTTGCCTGTCACCGACCAAAGTCAGTTGGCAAACTCAGGCCTCAGCTGCTCCGCCCTGGTTGCCGGAAGGGCAGTGGTCCGAGTTGGACCAGGAGTTCATCCCCTCTCCAAGACTGCCGTGACACCCGTAGCGACCACGTGGCAGCAGGGACAGTGGCCCGCTCAATGGCCAGGTTGGAACCCGTGGGGCATGCCAGTAATGACAGTCCCGTGTTCCCACCAGCCCTTCCTGGCCACCTCGGACAAATCGACCCCGGCACCACCAGCACCGAAGTCAGAGCACAGGGTTGACACACCACGGGGGCGGAGCATCAAACCCCAGTGCCTAATGAGCCGTCCCTGGAGAGCAAGGGGGAATCTGCTCCTCCACAGGTGGTGCAGTTGTCGTCGTCCCCAGATAAAGCAGTGGCAGGTCCTTCCCAAAGGGGCAGTCTCCACAATGACTTCAAGAAGCACCAGGCCCTCCTTAAAGGAGTGGCTGTTAATTTGAACCTACAGATTGAGGCGGTCGCAGAGGAGTCTGACAAACTCTTGAATGTGATATCCTCTGCCACCCCGGCCTGGGTAGCGCTGCCTGTCCACCGAAGAGTCCTTAAAATTACCAAATCATTGTGGCAACCTCCCTTTTCCATTCCGCTGACTTCTTAGAAGACGGCACTGCGATGGTGTGGGGAGCCCTCCAACTGGCCTGGGACGCTACTGACTCAGCGGCCAGGGTGGTCGCCTCTGTGGTGGCCATGAGGCGCAGCTCCTGGCAGTCCTCCGGCTTGTCCCAACAGATGCAGGCCAGTATTCAGGACCTTCAGTTTGAGGGAGCGGGGCTCTTCTTGGAGTTCACGGACTCAAGGCTCCACAGTCTGAAAGACTCCCAGGCCACCCTTCACTCCTTGGGCCTTCACAATCCTCAGCAGGCCAGGAAGCCGTTCCGTCCACCACCGCAGTCTAAGTCCTGGGGAACTTCTTGATCGGGTTCCTGCAGGAGAAAGAACAGAGACAAGGGGTCTATGCGATGACACCCATCGTCTTCCCGCCCGTCTGCTCAGCCTGACCCTTCCAGGAACCAAGGGGGCCAGAAGCAGTCATTTTGAGGGTACACTCGTGGACAACGCCCCAGTCACTTCACTGGATCCACCCTCCCTCTTTTTCCTCGACCACCTCTGTCCCTTCCAATCAGCCTGGTCTTGGCTAACCGTGGACCATTGGGTGCTCGACACAATTTCTTCGGGCTACACGCTGCAATTTGTGGCCAACCCTCCCTCCCACCCCCTTTCCCCATCCCTCTTCAGAGACCCTTCTCATGAGCAACTGCTTGTCCAGGAGGTCAAAAACCTCCTTCGCCTGGGAGCAGTGGAAGAGGCCCTTTGGGATATGATGGGGAAAAGGGTTCTACTCCTGCTACTTCCTGATCCCGAAAGCAAAAGGGGGCCTCAGATCCATCTTGGACCTGTGTCGTCACAAGAAATTTCTCAAGAAGTTGAAGTTTTGCATGGTCTCCCTGGCCTCCATGATCCCCTCTCTGGATCCAGGAGACTGGTACGCTGCCCTCAACTTGAAGGACACCTATTTCCTTATTTCCATTTTCCCAGGGCACAGGCGCTTCCTTCGTTTTATGCTGGGCCAGTGCCATTTCCAATTCACAGCACTACCCTTTGGTGTCTTGTCAGCCCCGAGAGTGTTCACAAAGTGCATAGCACCAGTGGTCGCTTACCTCCAGCGTCAGGGCGTTCAAATTTACCCGTACCTCGACAACTGGTTAATGAAGGGTAGGAATAAAAAAGGCTAAAATAGAGAGAGAGCAAGTTAAAAATTACTCGGACAAATTAGATGTCTTCAAGTCACCAGGGCCTGATGAAATGCATTCTAGAATACTCAAGGAGTTGACTGAGGAGATCTCTGAGCCATTAGCGATTATCTTTGAGAAGTCATGGAAGACGGGAGAGATTCCAGAAGACTGGAAAAGGGCAAATATAGTGCCCATCTATAAAAAGGGAAATAAGGACAACCCAGGAAATTACAGACCAGTCAGCTTAACTTCTGTACCCGGAAAGATAATGGAGAAAATAACACTGGTCTACAATTTTTGAGAAGTCGTCTGCTTCAGAGAT